CTCGGTCCAGCAGAAGGGGCAGGTTGCAGACCCCACCGGTCAAGGAATTTCGACTGGGGGGTTCTAGACAGAGGGCCTTTTCTGCTGTGGCCCCTGCCCTATGGAACATCCTGCCTCCCGAGGTCCGGTGCCCCCCCTCCCTCTTGGCCTTCAGAAAAGGGGTTAAATCCTGGGTCTGCCAGAAGGCCTGGGGGCCGGAGGGGGGCTCACATCTGTGGAGTTGGCTGGTGGGGTGATGGGTTTGGTTCCCCCCCCCAGCATCTTGAAGGTTTTAAGGCTAAAAATTACAGGGGGGGTTAGGAATTTTAATGTATGTTTCTATTTTAATTATTTATGGATTTTAGCCATTGTTAGAGGGATTGGTGTTTTTCATTTTTTGTTATTGTGAGCCATCCAGAGTCACCTGTTGGGGGAGATGGGCGGCATATGAGTTTAACAATCAATCAATCAATCAATCAATCATCTAAGGGAGGCACTTAAATTCATATTTGTCTGATGTCTTGGGTGGGCTAGACACAAAGTTGGTTCTCAAAGGTGCCTTTGAGACTTCAGATCAAAGGACTAGGTGTTGGGGGTGGGGGGAGTTGATGGCACAAGCATCAGGACATCATGCACACGACGTACGTTAAATATTTCATGGCTAGTACCAGATACTAATGGGGGTTGGACTTTTGTATATGCAGCAAAACTAGGGTGGGACTAAAACGGTTCAGGCCTGGCTCAAACATGGCTGAGTTACCCATCATCCAGATCATTATTTCGTAAACTATGGTGCGCTGAGCCGCAATAGACTGAGGTTGCACGTATTTCTAAATTATAAGTGCTAAACCAAGATCAAGCGGATGATACTGCATCTTATAGAGGTGTGTGGAGCCAGTCATAGAAGTTACCTGCTCATGAGATACTTACGTTCCTAACCCAGTTTTCAGATCTGGCTAGTTTATGATGGAGTGAACCCGTCCCCCGTGGCTGATTTGCATTTGACGTAGCACTTTGTGGGGCCCACACCCAGAATGGCTCAATTGTTCATGTGATCCAAACCAGCATGACTTGTTCACAAACCATGGTTGGAGTCTGTGCATTTCACTGCAGAAACCCCAGTGAAGTAAGGAGCTGAGCGACAGCATTGGGGGAAGCCTGCAAGATAAGTTCCTTGTGAAGAGCATCCATTGAGATCTGTTTGTCTCCCATTCTGCAGCTCTTTTCTTGGAAATGCCTCATCTGACCTTCTCCTTGTTTTTATAACTTTATGACTTAGCCCAAAGGCAGGGGGAAGAGAGAAAGAGGATTGGCATAATCATGCCACCTTTCTTATGAATGGCATCAATGTATTGGATTCTACAAGTTCCTTTGGATATGATCTTTTAATTGAAGGCATTGCCTGGTTTTTAATAAACAAGACGGAACGCAAGATTCTCGCCCAGGAATAGAGATAATATGTTTTAACATTCTTTGAATGAAATTTGGAAGACATTACAAGAGTTTCAGCATCCACTTCTTCTGAACCCAACTTAGGCTCACTGGTTGCCACTTGGCTTTCAAATACATGGCTTTAGTCAGATTTGACTCCTAGGTAGCGTTGTGATGGAGTTCCCAAGGTGTGAAGGTTCAAAAGCCAAATGTCTGTGTTTCCTTCCTTTTCTCGTAGACAGCCAGAGACATATTGATGAGTGATCATGACACTAGAGTGATCATCCCGCACTGGCATCAATGTGGATTGGTGATGTTATGTTGAAAAAAATTCCAGTGGTTGCGTTTGCAGGCAAGGCTAAACTAAAAATCTTTAGCACTTGGGCTAACTATGAACAAGCAAGTATGTATATTGGTCGATCATCCTCTCTTGCTCCTGTTTGATTTTTCCTGCCGGTGTGGTAGCTAAACAAACAGGACTTAATTGGCCTGTTCCAACTCTGATTCTGTGAGGTTTCCGTGAAATCAGGTTTTATTTAACATTACATGTGAACCAGGCGCATTTGTTGGTTCCTCTCCTAACAAACTAAAATCGGAAGCCAACGTTTATTACTGACTTCCAATTTGGGGCCAGGGGGATGGTTGCCAGTGACCTGCTGCACATGCTGTTAAACCACCCACAAAAAGAACTTCCTGGTTTGCTTAGTCATTTTGGTTAGCAGGAAGAGGGCCAAGGCAAAGCACTCAACCTTCTTCGAGCGATGATGCACTTGCCAAGCAGTCAAGGTACATCCAGATGGTAGATTGTTGGAATGGATAGAAGCAGTTAGATCTGATTGGGCAATGAATGTTCATGCTGCCTTCACTAGATCTGGATTACATTTGCCACCGATTTTGAATCTTCGTGTCAGGGGATCTTCTGCCTCCTGCTAATCTGGTTGGGGATGTTTCAGTGAGAAGGTCACTTGATGGGTGGCAGGCATCCTTGAAAGCCAGTTTGTCCACTACCATCCCCATTCGTCCCCATCAGAGAGAGTTAGAAGAGATGTGGCTGTGGTCACACAGGTCTGTGTTAAGGTTTGTCCAGTTCTTTGTGGCAACTGAAGGCATTCTGATACATGCTCTGGATGGGTTTTTTGTTTTTTTTTTAACATACACAAATTCTTTCGTGGAGATGTCAGTGTGGAAGGGGCTCTCTAAAAGCAAAAAGGTGGTAAACATTGCACTAAACATTATCACACTAAGACTATTCAGTTCTAATCTTTGCTATCATCTTGATCTGGCCTGGCTCTTCTTGCAGGTAAAAACAGATTTAGAGACATTTGTGGACCTACCAAGTTTCTGCTTAAGAATTGTTTAGAAATGTAGTACTGTCCCCACCCTTTGAGTGTGTTAGATTTTCTGGCCAGCTTGAAGCTACATTTCCAATGGATCTGGAGGGGGTCAACGTAGCAAAGCTCACTCTAACTCTTCATTGGCACAGTACGTCGGTACATCTAAATGTGCTTCTTACCATATTTTGTGCACTAAAGTTACTCTCTTCCAGTGGCTTCCAAATATTTCTTCTGCTGCTTCATTGGCCTTTTTACTATCAACCTCACCAACTTTGGGGCAGCAGATGCCAAAAAATAAAAATAATCAAAATCTCATAACATGGCCAGTTTTGGGAAAATGTTGGCATTCTGACCCTGAGATCTTCTACTAAAGGGATGGAATTTGCTACGGGTTGGTGTTCCTGAGAGCAAATCTGGCCACTTTTTTTAATGCTGGGATATCACAGATATCATGTAGGAATGCTATGGATAATTCACGGCTGCCTCTTGTATAATGTCTTTGAAATCTTCAAAGGGTATCATGCACCCCAGTGTTTCTTTACCTTGGCAACTTTAAGATGTGTGGACTTCAACTCCCAGAATTCCCCATGCTGGCTGGGGAATTCTGGGAGTT